CTCGGATCTCATTTTTGAAGTCAACTTCCATGTGATTTTCAACTGACTCAGAGAAAAGCTCACAAAAAAAAAAAAACATTTTTTTGAGGACATAGTAGCTTGACTCATCGGATTTTAACAAAGATTATCAATGGATATACTGTACGGACATATGTAGATCTTCACCGGAAATAAACTTTCATCTTTTGTCGTGGGCGCTTTATGCGAGATTCTCATTTGTTAGAGTTTTTCTCGGTTTTGAAATATCTGTTCTCTTCTTATTATCTCGGTCAGTCTCTTGCACTGTCGCACTTCTCGTCGTGATTCCAATGATAAGCGTTTTTCTTGGTCTGAGGGCTTCAAATCATAAGTGATGGTTTCTTTGATCCTGTCTTAGTGGATACACTTACTTCTTCTAACCTTCTTACCGTAGAGAGGTGATAATGTTTCACGCCACTAAAAGCATTAAGGGGATTGCGTTGATCAGTATCTGTCGATTGTATCCTTGTGAATCAGTATATCTTGTGATGATAGTATAAAAACATGACGTTATCATTTCGCTTAAGCTCTCGGAGGGCTGTTACCATAGTGACCCGTAGCTCATCCGTATTTGCTCGTCCCCTAGATATCATACAGATTGGTAGAGAAGTTTGAGGGTTAGGCATAAATGTAGTTGTGCATGATGACAGATGTGGTCGGCCTCCTCGTTCTTCCCTCTACGGGTTGTGCTGCTGAGACCGATGTGCCGAATGGGTTGTGCGGCTTCATCGGCTGGCTTGAAGGTGCAGCTAATGACAACAGCCGGCAGCCCACCCAATCTAGCCAGTCGAACAACGCGAAGCTGTACGACGATGTTCAGACAGCAGCAACTCGGCTCGTCAAGGTAGGTGCATTCGGAGGGGCGGGGACAATGTGTCGTGGCAATGTTGCATCGATTTTATCGTGGTGTCCTTTGTTAGATCTAGTGTCAGATTATATTGCAATTTATAATTAATGCACATAGTTGGCATGAACTTTGTTCTGTTTTGTGTACGATAACAATGCAAGTGATCTATGCCTCTTCTGCCCTTCTTATTTTCCCGCTACTTCACACATTA